TACCGAACCGAAAGCACTGTATCGAACGGTTCAATATCGATACGAATATCGTTGCACCCTTAATGGATAGATATAGAAAGAGAGTATAGACATATACAAAAAAGGACTATCTCAGTAATAAATGGCCTTTTTTGGAATTTTGCAAATTTGCACATGATGTGAGTGATCGTTCATTTATTAATTATTTTGTTTTGGTTGTTATAAATGCTTACAAGATGAAAAGAACGACAACATGTGAACGCTGCAGAAGTGTAAACAACTTAAAGAAAATAAAACCTGACAGCTGTATTTACCAATAAGTGATGGATATGAGGTTAACACATCAGTATTGTAAGGATTTTGGCTGAATTGGTGCAAAACTGAATGACTTCCAAAGTGTAAGACTTTCTGTTCAAGCCCATTTTTTTTTAGGTCTCCTCACGTAAAATAAACCCTACACCTTCTATACAGTGCAAGTCTTGGTGACAGGATACTGCAACAGCCGTTTGACACAACTTCCGTTTTAGATTCTGCTTAGAGAATACACAGTAACTGAGAGTTATCATTAAATTCTGGAAATAAGTATAACTAGGGATGGTTATCGAAACCCAGTTCTTGTTGGCATTTTTGCAAACGATTCCCTTATCGATTCCAGTCGCCCCGAATGACGTCACCACGTTGCGGAGCTTCATTTACCTGGCAGGAAACGTGGCGCCTAAGTGGCCCAAAAGTTTGGTTATACTTTACGAGAACGGATGACAACAGGGCAACTTGCAATACTTGCAAAGTAGATATTTCATTTAAGGGAGGAAACACTACGAATATGCAAAAGAATTTTCTCATAAAACACACGATAACCTTAAATGAATGTCGTGTTTTTAATTCCGCTCCGGACTCGTGAATCTCAACCCAGCAGCAGCGGTAACGTTTGCACGTCCTCTCCCGTTAATGCAGCAGGTAAATGATCAACTAACAGTGCATATTATGTTAGCGCAATCTGGACATTACTGGGTATTCTTGTGTAATTGCTACAGAATAATTTATGGTATACTTTGTTACTGCTACAGAAGAATATTTATTTTATTATTTTACATTTACATTTTTTTTTCTCTGGGGACCCTGTGACACCCCATTGAAGAGCTGTAGGCTGTGGATCTCTTAAGATCTCACTGTTGGGTTTGTAAGGCCATGTTACTCCTAAATTTCTATCTTCTTCAAAAAGAAGTTATGAAACAAAGTTCTAAGCTAATCGACCTTAGTGTTCTCCTTTTTTTTAAAAATAAGAATCAATAAGAGAATCGATAAAGAATCAAACTGTTAAACAGAATCGAAAACTGAATCGTAATCGTGAAAATCTTATCTATTCGCATCCCTAAGTATAACTGCATAAAACCCTGCCTCAAACTCTCAACATCATGTTAAAACTCCTGATATCAACAACACAGTCTTCAAAATCTTAGTGCTCACCAAAGAGATACATCCACCCACCTTCTGAGTCTATGGTAACATCAGTTTCTCCATTGCACATGCTCCGCAGCAGGCTGTCTTCCTTGCTTAATGTCTGGATGGTTGTATAATGCAATGAGCCACCAACATTTAACTTGATGTACTTGCTCCCCAGCAGACCCTGGTTCCTGTGCTCATCTGTGTGAAGGCAGGCAGGCTGGGAAACAGCGGACTGGGCAGAGTCGGCAGCATGACTGCCGACTGAAGCCTCAGCAGACATGGGGTTGAAGAGTCACTTTCTGACTGAAATACACAAGAATCTTATATTATTTATGCCACTGCTGATAATTATCCTATTTCAGCTGCTTCTTAACTGAGAGTAACATAATAGCTCTTAGACTTTAGAAGAATAGCTTTGTATCTGAGCTACTTTCTGCTTTCTGCTCTGTAGCTGATGTTATGATTATCTGTGTCTATAGAAGCCACATATAATGACGAATATAAAAAAAAATTCAAGTCAGAACAAAGTGCACTGCAATGGAGTAAGTGCTCATGAGGGTGTGAGCATAAGTAAAATAGATAGTAAAATAGATAGACCTATTAACTTAACAGGGTTATTATAGTTTTATATTTTCAAATTACTTTTCATTTAGTTTTAATCTTCGAAAAAATTGTATTAGTCTCTGTTTGACATCTTTTTAAGTAATATTGTATTTAGAGTAAATGCCAGATGCAACATTTAAGAAAATAAAAATATTAGAATAAAAACACATTGTTTTTTTCAAAGCAGTGTGGGTGAAAGTAGTGTTTTTTGTTTGTTTTTTTTTGGGGTTTTTTTTAATCTACTTAACTAAAATATTCCTTTCCTCATATCTAGTTTTAGTGAACTATAATAACCTTAATCATTAATCACGGTGGGGAATTTAAAAAGAGTTTCAGCTGATCTTTGTGTTACTATGACATTAATACACCGTGTGGGTGTTTAGATTTCTTTCTTTTTTTTTTAAAAAGGGCCAAATTACAACTGTCACCAAACCTCTAAACCTGTACTAAAATCACATCATTTTCTCAGCCACATCCACTTTGTTTATTGTAATGATTGATTTTGAACATCTATCAGGACAAAACATTAGGATCAAATGACCATTTTTTTCCCCAAACAGCAAACTGATTCAGACTAGCCCTTTTTACATAAAGCCCTGAGGCGTTACTGACAGCCATTGATTAGACAACATAAACACTTTCAGTCACATGAGGCACCTCAAATGACACCCCTGACTGACGTCTACTGTAATATGACAGCTGCTGACATATCGGACTATTAAACTGAAATTACACTGAGCTAGCTCATAATAAACTGTACTTACCACACTGAACATCCAAAGGTGTTAAGAGAGTGAACCTATCTAAGCTAACAAAACTAAAAATATAGCTTTAATTAGCCAGCAATCGTTAATCAACTAGCTAGCTTCTGTAAAGAGGCCAGGTGAATTTACGGCGCAGCTAACATCTGACGCCTCATTTTAATCGCACAGCTAAAGGAACGAGGCTAACAGCAGCTAGTCTACTCCGTCACGCTTTAAGCTACTAATGCTCATTTGCTCTGTACCGCTTAGTGACCAAGAACGCGAATTCCACATCCACTCCAATTTCACTGTTGGGCACAAAACTGCAGCTAGTATGATAAGCTAAATAGGTCAGTCGGAAGCGAAACTAGACATCTTCTTCCGCTTTTTTCTTCTTCTACTTTTAACCGATCTTTGAATGGAATGACTGCCACCTATCGAGCAAGTGGTTAGTGCTTACACTAACTTGTTGTAATAGACTACCACACATTCATATTATTCTCTTTTTAACAGAACAACAGAATTTCTCTAAAAATATATTAAAATTACTATTTCTTTCGGGACCGGTGAGCGTCTCTGTTATAGCTGAGCCTTAGGCCGTGTATACACTGCCATCTACTGGTCACAGTGAGGAACTGCAACAATACAATATCCGTTCTGTTGTTTGCTCTTCGATGAGTTTTGAACAAAGACATGCGGGTAGTGGGTTTAGGTTAATAAAAGTGATTCTAAACTGCCTGTAAGTGTTTGGTGAGTGGATGGAATGATTGTTTTAAAGATGTCTGTATTAATCTCTTTAACCTGGGCCAGTGACCAGCATTTGTTACACTGCAAATAGGTATGCTCATAAACATGATTATGGTACTTGGAACACTGAATGCGTGTTCACTGGACACTGACAACTGGGTCCGACTCAGAGTTTCAGGTCTTCCAATGTAAAACATTCACATTAACAAATTCAGATCTATAGTTTTATTTTTCACAGACTATAACACCACATTCTCCTCTCTCCAGGAGTTGCAATGCAACTCAGAGACAGTGACAGGCCACTTCAAGTTGCACACTATGTACAAACATACCACAACCTGAGGGATGAAAAATTACAATGACAGACTTACAAAGCTTACATGCTGTATATGTATAATTAATGTGGATAAATCCAGTGTTAAAATAATCACATAATTGTTTTTGTGTATTGACATACTTTTCAATATGGCTTAGCTTATAAGTCAAGAGCATGACCAATTTTAAATGAATAACCCATAAAATTAATATCACTATTTCAAGACAATTTCTATATTAAAATAATGAAATTTAATGAAACTGGTGAAAGCTAAAGTATTGGAAAGCTTTATATTGTGTTTCTCAGTTAAAAACTTAAGTTGTATTTCTTACTAATATGATTAATAGACTTCAACATTTGTGTATGTGTAAATGTGTTGTGACCACAAGAAAATAACTGCACATTTCTACAAGCTGACACCATTCAACGGAGACTTTATTTCCAGTTCAGCAAATAATTTACTGCCTTCCAAAGAGTGTATTCATATATGAAGCAAAGAAATGCTACTGATGATAAGAGAATAATTAAATCTACAAAGATCAGAAACAGTCTCCAAGATCCTTTCATTTGGCACAGTGAATGAGACTACATTCACTTTTCAAACAATCATTTGTAAATCAACACATAATGCATCACAGCAAGCAGCCAGATTTGTAATTGTTTTTTATCAACATAGTGCATACAACATCAAATTTGATAACAATGATAGCTGTCAGTAACTATAATGGTAATGGAAAGATTGAGCATAAGCAATATAATTTACAATCAGTGCATGCTCTAAGCATAATGACATTCATGTCCTCACCTTTTTCTTACACGTCATGTCGTGTGGCGTCGGGTGATGATGCACTCGAGAAACAGTGAAGAATAAAATAAACACTGCCTTTGTAAACACTATTTCAACAACAGATGAAACACTTAGAGACATTAAATAATTTAACATTATATTTTGGCACTGAATTTTCATTATATGTATATAATGAAAATATATAACCTCCCGCCACCATGTATAAGTGTGTGTATATATATCTGTATACGAGGCTTATATATTTATAAACCTCAGTCACTATTAAGTCAGATATTTACATTCATTTTGTGTGTGTGTGTGTGCACGCGCGTGTGTATGAGAGAGAGTGTTTTGCACACACGAAGAAAAAGTAAAGAAGAGAAAATCACTTTTTTTCCAGGATAAAATCAAACAATTCTTTCCCTGTACTGTAATGATGTACGAACCGCTTTAAAAATACAAGAGAAACACAGGATGTATTATGATCTCAACTTTTGATTGTTACAAATAAAGTATTGCCAAGTTCTTTAATGTTTGGCCTCATTCTGTTTTTACTAACTAGACAAATCCATTTCCCTTTACCCTTCCCCGCTCTCCAGCTCTACTCTCGCTTTTTTGTTTTTCTTTGTTGACAATTTCTTACCCTTTATAAGGCACCGGTCCTAATGATAGAGGATGAAATAGGACTCACATTTGGCAGACCACCACATCAGTGCAGAAAATCAGAAGAAATCATATCCAAGGTGAATAAACCAGATATTACAGTGATGGTAAAACAGAAACATAATCCAGACTTTAAAAGGGGGAGTGAGGCCTTATAATACAGAGGAATTTGTCTTCCCAAAGAATTGAATCATTCGATGGTTTCAAGACCCTTTCTCCACTAAATGGACACTTCGTACTCCCGCGTATCCTGTCGTCAAAGTAAAAAACAGAGGACCAACTTTAATGTTGGATATGGTGTTAACATATCCTCACTGGACACTTTATTAGGTACAACTTACATTTAGCATACTTTGCTTTTAATAAGTGGTTATTTCAGTTACTGTCACCTCTCTATTAGACCAGAGCTATTTTGGTGATGCTCGGCTTTAACTTCAGCAGGTACTCTTGACCATGTCTGCTTGCCTAAATGTAGTTGTGCTGCAATATGATTACCTGATTCAATACTTGTGTTATCTAGCAGCTGAACATCTGTACCTAATAAAGTGGCCAGTGAGCATGCACCTTGAATGCACAAATAAAATAGTCATTCAGTCAGATCTCTATTAAAATCAAGTGGAATAAATAATGTTAAGCAGCACCTTCCGTGTACTTACCCCTGCTTCATAAAGGGGGTTGTTGAAGTCTGATTCGACTGTGATGGGACTGTAGGAGTGCGTGTGAGAAAGAGACTTCCAGAAGTGTGGCTTCCATTCTAGTCTGCAGATGCTGTGAAAGGCAAAATGCAACCACCTCCATGAACTATTCAGCGCACAGGTCATTAGGAACTGAGGTGGAGAACATTTGGAAAACAGTGTTGTAGTGTCTACACTGCAGATGTGGAAATACTTACTTTGTGTAGTACATGTAAATTCCTCCAATGAGGAGGATGACCAGGATGATTGGCAGAATTATTGCCAAAGCAATGTTCTCACTCAGGATCTGATGGGATGGCTGGAATGACTGGGACACTGCACACCAATCAAAAGTGTTACATTAGCTTTTGGTTTGGTTATGAGCCTAAACTGTCAAACACAACAAAAATAAGGTGCTAAATCACCACATTTATATGTTATATTTATCAAATAAAAAAAACCCCAGGTGCAATTGCATTTAAAATTAAAATCCCATATGTATTTGTTTTAAAGAGCATGTTTAAACGATGTATTTAAGAGAGAGAAAAACAAAACAAATTACCTTCTAACTTGTGATCATCCAATAGCTCCTCATATGCCACTTCAAAATAAGAAAGAGATAAAATATCATATTTTTAAACGTTCAGGAGCTCAATGCTATATTTTTATATAGTTGACAAAATAATTGCAGGTAACTAATAATTTATAAAGGTTGAATCTAGTCAGTTTAATCTTAATACAACATTTAAAATAAAGATCCATAGTGGTGAGCTTCACCTTTGCAAAAGGGCGGCGGGCTGTTCCACTGAGATGGATGACCGGGAACACAGCTGATGATGACCTCACCGATAAGTTCGTAGCCCTCATAACAGAAGAATCGCAGAGTTTCTCCAGCTTGGTAGGTGTGCTTGTAAAGAGTTTGGTAACCATTGTCGGGGACTCCAGGGTTTGGACATGGGTCATATTTTACTGTTCGCGGCACACAAAACACACAGAGGACAGTCACGTACGTGCAGCTGATTCAAAACATGCAGAAATAAGCTTCATAAACAGACGAGGTCAGCTGAGTGCAGGAAGGGCACTTACAGACACACTTTGGGCTGCGGTCGCTCCATTTGGGGGTACCAGTGTCTCGTCCGTAGCAGGAGATTTGGCTGGGACCTTCCAGCTGATAACCCTGGTTACAGGAGAAACGAACCACTGTACCAACGGCAAAGCCTGTTTCGGGGCGCACGGAGCGTGCTCCGTTTACCACCTCTCCTGGGTCAGGGCACTGCTGTACTGTAGGGGGCAAAATTAGATTTATAAACTACTGGACACAAACAATATGAGGTTATTATATATGACTATGCTACAGTATATTTCTAACTAACTAGGCAGCTCATTCTCTTTCTTGTGACAGTACTTTCTTTGAGTATATGACATGTTTTGGACTCAACTCCAAAGAAAAGCAGATGTAAAATGTAAAGGTGAGCTCAGAGGTCAAATGTGACGGATTTTAAATATTTAATTTTAAATATTGTCAACGTACAGAAAGTATTCAACATATACTTTCTATACGTTGACAATACACACCATATTGTAAAAATAATAGTTCCTAAGTTTTGTTAATTTTTGCCAAATTTTGACTTATAAATGACTGAGTTGACCTTCGGATATAAGCCAAATTTAAATAGATTTTTAACATGATTCTACATCTTTTTAAAAAATCAGAATTCATTCAAAACCTTTCAAGCTACCATGCTCTTCATATGACTCTTCAGGTGAAAGCTTACAACCACATGTAACAAAGTGTCAAACCATTTCTTAAAAATAACACAACAACAAAAAAAAAGGAACAAAAAAAGAAAAAAGGAAATTTATTTATTTATTTTTTATTTAACTTCTAAGAAACTCCTAAGAATTACAAAATGTTGAATTTTTCCATAAAATTAGGACTACACCCTGGTAAAGATAAACGTTCTTCTAAAACCATCTACACTATTAAAAGAGCTCCAATAGTGGAAAACTGTTAGGAGAAGGGAAGAAAAGGGAAGAGGACTTTTAAGAACCTTCAGAGAAAATCCTGGAAATGCTCTGCGAGTGATGAACTACAAACAGTTTGCATAATCTGGGTTCTCCCTCAGAGGGCCTGGCTCTTTTTCACACTGTTCGTCTTACCCTTAACGCAGGTAGGCGGACTGCTGCTCCAGGACAGGTCCCACTGGCAGGTGATTACGTCAGAGCCGCTGATGTCATACCCCGGCTGGCACTGATAGGTCAGCACGCTGCCTCTCACGGGGGAGGAGTGGGATGAGCTGATCCAGCCAAACTCAATATTAGGAAGGGTAGGGCAGGTGTCATTAGGTTCGACCTCTTCATAACACAGACAGAGGAGCAATTCAGTGACAGAAACAAAAGCAGCTGTTTGAAATCTGTTTCCTGCTGGCAGCAGCCCTCATTCAATTCAACTCAATTCAACTCAATTCAACTCAATTCAGTTTTATTTATACAGAACCAAATCACAACAACACTCACCTCAAGGCGCTTTTAATTGTAAGGTAAAGACCCCACAATAATCCAACTAGATGACTGCTTGTGAGCAAGCACTTGGCAACAGTGGGAATAAAAAACTCCCCTTTAACAGGAAGACACCTCTGGCAGAACCAGCTCTTCATATTGACCTTCTCCATATTGTATTGTGTACTTTTACAGTCATCAATTAGTGCACTTACCACGATAATGAATGAGGAATCCCTGACTCAGGATGAAGCTGGAGTCGTCCAGATCGCTCTGAAACTGGATGGCAACCTCAGACCCCCCTGAAACAACCTGGAAACGCTCTTTGGACCCCAGGTACTGGCCGATCACGTGGGACGTGAGATCACGCCCATCAAAAATGGTCAGCACATCAGTGTGACGGATATTTAAACTACGGAGTGAAGAGAAGAATCACAGGAGAAATAAGCTTTTTTATGTGTTGTATTCTTTTTTCTAATACATATGTTTTTTCTTGTTTGTTTGCTGCTTTATTTTTAATGTTTTAAAACAATTTTCACATGTACCATGGATACAAAGTGTAACTTGAATTAAAATATAAACATGATCATGATTAAAGACAACAGTAGAAAACCAAGACCTGTGGGACATTCGTGACGTGAATTTGATGCTGATTAAATGATTTTTCTCTAATACTCATTTAATTTATTGTCAGTTCAGTGTGCTGTGTGCTGTAACTCTATTACTTTAAGGGAGAAATTAAATTAAGCACATTTATTAAACTACAATTATCGCTTTGTGCTTGTGTGCCTGAGCCAACACACCAAGGTACAGTTCATATTAATGATTCCAGTATGAAGAATAATTGGAGTTGTTCCTCATCTGAGTTAAGAGCCTAGGGAAAGAGGGCGCTGTTTGCTGTATGGACTGTGAAGCCTCCTGAAGCAATTCTTTGATTTGTGATATAAAGTTATATAAATAAATTTGATTTGATTTGATTTAATTATAAAATGGAGTCTTTCTGTCCCTGTGCTCATGTAGGTTTCCTTCAGGTACTCTGGTTTCCTCAAGCAGTTAGTTAACTGCAGTTAACAGCTAATTCTTAATGGGCCTTATATGTGGATATGAGTGTGTGTGGCTGCCTCTCTGTGCCAGCCCTGTGATGGATTAGGGACATGTCCAGGGTGCACCCAAGCAGCAGCCTCTAAGGCTAAAAAAATAAAGTCACTGCAGAAGCTGGTTTTTATTTTCGACTTCTCACCTGAGGGTGACTCCAAAATATGAGTCATTTCCCAGTGATTCCCATGTTCAAATGTTCAGCTAAACAGCATTTTGGCCTCTGTGGATAGACTACTAAAGCTTAAAGTTAGGGGCGCAGCTGCTTTGACTGACAGGTGTGCTGACACGAGCAGCTGTAGCCAATAGCTGGTGCCTTTTGGGGCATTTTTAATGAAACGCCTGTCAAACAACATATCCTGCTGCTGTACACATTGTTTAAGAGTGACTGTGTTTTAGTATCTATTATTTAAAAATGTCAAAGAAATCCCCCCCTGATGTTCCTGAGATATAGTGTTTATAAGAAGCAGATGAATGGATGTCTATATTTTCTTTTACTGAAAAAAATATGTCTCGGAGACATAGTTCAACAGCATGTGGAGATTTTTATATACTGTAAATAATTAGAAGCTAATCTAGAAGTTTAAAACATCTAAGATTGAAGATACTAACCTGCCTGAGTTTGGGTGGACATTTCTAAAATATTGAATAATTAAACTCTATAGTACATAAAGCATCATGCGGTCTAATTTATTTTGAAAATGCATTCCAAATACTAAAAAGAGACACAAATTAATCACTCACATCTGGACATCCAGTTCAATGCGTTTCTCCTCGTTACCATGGATTTGCCACACACAGTCTAAGCCCTTGGAGTAGCTCTGGGGCCAATCAGGAGACAGGATGGTTCCAGAGGGCTCGGTCAACTCCCCTCCGCACAAAGCTTATGGGGCAGAACAAAGGAGAGAAACTGAGGTGAGGATGCAGACTGGGAGACAGAGAATGATTAAATTGTAGCAAGGAAAAGTAGACATTAAAGAAATAAAAAGGAAATTGAGAAGACACGAAATATTAATTTGGAGAAAAGAAAAGAAATAAAATTAAACTTTAAAAAACATTTGCAGAAGCAGGCTAAGCTCATGCTTTTGTAATCATTTTGTTCACTACACATACTATTATAAGAAGCCTTAATGCAAACTGTCATTAGCTTACTTTCAGTCTTAAGGAATGATGGCTTTGACACTATTACCTCATTACTTCACAGCAACTACAAATGTAATACAAACAGTTCAGAAAGTATGTCAGTAGGGAAGTGGCTACTCAGCAGCACTTCTATTTCAGTGTAAAGCTGCTTTCAGCTGCTCCCTCACTCTGGGTATCTCCACATATTTGATTTGCCAGGCACCGGATACTGCAATATTGTTTCTGACACAACCACAAAGGGATCTGTCTCCTTCCAAATTGAAAACATGCAGCGTTTTAGGCGAGTGTGTGAACGACTCCATGATGGAGTGCAGTTCTACCATTTCCCCTGTAAGAAAACGCTGGCTTCACATAAAATGCCAGCACTAGCTTCACCAAATCCGAGGCATTAAACTGTGTTGCTGCACAGACACACGTCCAACTATAGTTATGGAGAGAGTCCAAGCTTTCGTTCAGTAAATGTGATAAAAAAAAAGAAGATGCAGAATGAGACTTACCATCCTTCACACACACATACAGGATGGTAAGTCTACATTTGCAAATCTAATTCAGTGAGCGAAAAACAAGGATATGAAGACCTGGACTAAACAACCATAACTTTATAACAGGCACATGGATGCCAATCTCCTGACATTTCCTATTTCACCTTTCTGGATCAATATTTATACAATCTACTTCTTGGTTTCTGTAAGCAGAAATAAAACACAGCATTTGGCTTTCAGAATATGTCACGTTAACGCTTAGATAAAACTCTGGCACCTGTGTTTTCAGCCAGTCCCTGACCCGGTGCAAAATCTCTGCCAGTTTTAAATCTCAGTTTTCACAGCATGCTGGCAGATCAGCAGATGACACAGTCAATGTAGCTACACATGACATCTCAAAGCTTCAGACGCTTATCTCTGCACAACTCGCCCTAACTATCAATGAATCAAAAAACATTTTCTTACGTCACGCTAAATAAGAAATAAACAAGAATAAGTAAAGTTTATATTTTTGTTTCGAAAGATGTTTTACAGTATGAAAGGTTTAATATTATTATACTGAAAATCAGTAAACAGTGTCAACATTACCATCTTCTCTTGCAACATGAAACCGATGAATCCTTAAACGTACCTCTGCACACAGGTTCGCTGTCATTCCAGTGAGGGTTACTGGGATCGACGCACTCAATGGTCCCTGAACCTTGTTCCATGACAAAGCCTGGAGAACAGGTGAAGGTGACGCTGGTTCCCAGCTGATACGTGATGTCACTGCTGCTGAAGTTTCCATGAGGCATGTAGGGCTCCCAGCAGTGCTCATCATCGAAAGCTTAAAAAGGACGAAGGAAAAAGTAAACCACGTGTGCACATTTATAAAGATCACAGAGTTTTTCCTCGTCATGGCATTTGATATTCAGGGAGCTGTTCTCCTTCTAGATAAAATTAAGCAGCCATCCTCATTTGATTTATTGGGGAACTTTTCAGTTTCAAATCTTGGCTAGAAAAAGCCCAGGTGTAAAAGGCTAAGAGTTTCAGCACTGAGCCGCTTCAAAGCCTTAAAGTAAATCCCACTGAAACGTGGGCAGACTAAGCATTCATGTGGCTCATTATGCATGTCTTTCCTGAATTATCAATAATTAACAAGGGAAAGGCTTTACTGAGATTTAACAAAATCTCCAAGAATCCATTTGCATGATTTCTGGCTTTTTTCTCAGGCACAATGCTGACCTGTGTACCATATATTTCACAGAAATTGGGTCAGAAGGATGCTCTACTCTGCTACCATCTTTTTGTTTTGCTGAACCTGGGAAATACCTAATGTAAGCAAAAAGGATGCAGGCTCTCTCTGCTCACCCTCATATCGCAGCGCCAGCAGCAAAGGGATGGAAGAAGAATCAGCTGTGAGCTCCAGGTACAGTGTGGAGCTCTCGCTCAGCAACCCACGTTCTGGGACGTCATCCATATCTGAGTCAAAAAGCGTCGGAGCCAGGGAACTGTTTCCACTGCGCACAATTAACCTGAAAGCAACGAGCCACAAAGACGCCACAAAGGTTAGCAGAAACGCTTTAAGGAAAGCAGGAATGTGCACAGGCTGAAGGCGGCTGAACAAGTCTTTTGCTTTGGCTACTTTTTTATTGCAAAGTCAAAGTGTGCTGCGAGAGACTTTGCCTAGTATTTTGAGAGATTTTAAAAATTATCTCTAAACATAAAAATCTTCTCTCACAATGCAAGCACATGCACATTAGTCCGCCTGGTGACTGAACTGCTGTCTCTGTCTCTGTGTTAGCCCTGTGATCGACTGTCGACCTCTCCATGGCGCCCTGCCACTCGCTCTATGACAGCTAACCCCCTGTGACCCTGAATTGGATAGAAAAACGGATGGATTGATGGATGGAGAGATGGATGGATGAATGACCTTCAGAGAACAAGCGTAGGCAAAATAAAAGGGAAAATAGCAAATTTCTAAAAAGTTTTTTTTTAATTATTATTGTATGAACCTGGGAGCTTTATCTATGACTTAAAATAGCAACTGAATATTAAAGTGAACCTGCTGATCTTATTTTCTGCCACACACATACTGTTACAGTGCTGGATGCTCATATTAAACAGGGCCAAAGTTTCAAATAATGATACCAGTGAATGCAAAATGAATCCTCATGATTCCAAAGCTCAGGCTTTAGACTGCATAAAACATTGGTTTCCAGTGTTTCTTTGATACTCTATATGGTAATCGCAAGCAAAGGATTTTGTTTGCAGAAGCATGAAGAGAGACAAACAAATCAAGAGAAAGTGGGCTTTTACAGAGACAGGAGCTTGTTTCAAACAGAGGACGAACTTAAAGGCTACACAAATGGCCAGCGTAAGATAAACAATAAGGAGTGTTTGTAACTATGAGAAAGCCAGTATAATTGAATCCTCGAAAAAAATATGAAGCTAGATACAAAGCACAGTTGGTAGTTTACTCCTACAATTGATATTGGAGAAAAATAAATGCTAAACACAAAAATGTAAAAAGAAAAAAGAAAAACTTGTTGTCAGTGTTGTACTCAGTGATCTTTTTAAATCAGAGGGCATTCTCCATGTCATACTCTGCGATATGTGAAGTGGTTAAAACGCAGGCTTACTTATCATCATCTTCATCCAGTGCAATTCTCTCAAAGTGTAGGTGGAGTCTGTGTCCCTCTTTGGCTTCTATTAACCAGTGACAGCTCAGATTATTTCCATTGCTGTGGTTGCTTACTGATGGAGGCGGTGGGGACAGTATCCGTCCCACAGTCGCATTACGAATCCACCCTCCGCAAGACACGGCTGAGAGAAAATGAAATCCATTTAAATGAACTCAAAGCTGACCAAGTTTAAACCAACAGAGTTAGCAAAGAAGATGAGGCAGTGGGAAATTTAAAAGAAGTCTGAGTCAGTTCACTAACCAACACACTGAGGCTCAGGAGTGCTCCAGCGTGGCTGCGTCATGTTAACACAGGTCGCCACCTCATGCCCGCGGACTTGAAAACCTGGATCACAGTGGAAGTGTGCCTGACCTCCAGGATGGATGTCTGTCACTGTCACTCCACCGCCCTCAGGAGACATTGGGAATGGGCAGGACAGCAGGAAGGCTGTTGATGAAGGTTAACAGTTAAACTCTTTAGGGGTCGCCACAGCATTTCCTCTTCCTCCATCTCACCCTATCCCTAGCATCCTACTCTGTCACACCAACTGTCTGCATGTCCTCCTCCACTACATCAAACCTTCCACATGATCTTCCTCTTTTCCTCCTCCTCCTCGCAGCTCCATCTTAATCTCATCTTTGTCCAATAATAATTGGACAAACTGCGCCTGGGGATGCAGGTAGGTAGGGACGATACCTTGCTCAGGCGTACCTCAGGGTAGCCATTCAGTGGATTCGAACCCCTGACCTTCGCGTATGTCTAAACCAGTTAGCTAAATGTGTAATGCAGATCTTTTTCCTCTATACTCTCTACTTTATTCTTTTACTTCTACTGTGTACGCTCTGCACATCTCTTATTCATAATTTTCTTCTGCCATTTACTCCAAACACATTCTAATAAGTCGTCTATCAGGTGGTGATCTTTAAGTCCTCAGATATCTGTTATGCTATCATCATCACGTAGCAGAATAGAAACAGAAACAGACAGAGATGTCCAAGGTGGTGCGACTGAGCAGGTGGCTGTCTCGTCACCTGCACAATTATCAGCTATCATCACTGGTGTTGCTTTTAACAAGATGCCACTGACACTTGGTATTCACCTTGAATCTTTTCATTCATTTTAATCAAAAGCGTAAAGCTCAGAGTTTCCTGGCTAAACAAGCCAGGCTTTAGAGAATAAGCGATGCACATGAAAATGTGCAGGTGAGACATTCTCACTTTAAAACTCAAAGGGCAGTGACTAAATTAAAACCTGCAAATTAAAGTGAGAGAAACATCTACCACGCTTCTGTGGTTTCACTGTGTATTTATGAAGCTTTTTATTCCAGCCACATAACACTTTACCACATTAATGTTACTAAATAAAGGTAGATAGAAAGAAATAAAAATGTTCTGCTTATCTTATGAAAGAGGTTGAGTTACCTTGATAGTGGAGGCTGAACATGCCATGGTTGCTCTGACGCAGACTGCGATAGTGGATGTAAACCTGATTGGTTGTACTACGAATCACCTGACCCTGTTTCATCAGGGTCTCATTGGCTAACAGCTCTGGTCCTGATCTGCCGTATCCCATGATTGTTAGAGACTCATCCTTGGAAAGGTTAGCCTTTCTCACCTGGGGGAAAAAAGAGGACACCTCTTTTGTCTGCTGTCGTTATATAAACTTTCCTGGTAGCTTAGCAGCTCATGAAGTGAATCTGCTGACATACTATACAACCTAAACTAACTCACGATTGTCTGTACAATGTTTGCAAATGCTGCACTTACAAAAAGAAAAGCTGAGTCATGGAGTCTAAATTAAACATAACAAACACTTTCTGACAAATTTATCAACAGCAGCATGTTGGGCTTTTTTTTTTTTTTTTTTTTTACAATAAACTGCTTAAAAATAGCTGGTTAAGATGTTTATGAATTTTAATGCACATTACCTGAATTTCCACTCCGTAACCTGCGTACACAGTAATGCTGTAGGTGCACTCCAAGGGGGAATAAGATGAAGATGTTGTGGGATCTGGAGACTCAACAACATCCTCCATGGCTAATAAAGTAGCGTTGCATTGAACTGTAAAACAAGAGGGACAGAGCAGGTGAAGAAGTAGGAAAAGTCTATGATTCAGAAAAGCTGTAGCAAACTTATATACAGGTTTTATACTATCTGCATTTTCTTTCTCAACTGGTATCTTCACAGCTAGTGAAAGCATTCTTTGATCATGACTTATTGTCAGTATCCCAGAGGATGCAGTGTGTGTCGACTGATCAGCCTGATACAGTCTAGATGCGAACTTGTTGCACTCCAGTAACCTGCGTTTTGGAGGAGAACTGCAGAGTGACTTCTGTAAGTGAAAATGAGAGAAGTTCCAGCATCTTAAGATCTTTTATCAAACTGCAACTCCGATGCCTGAAATGAGCAGCCATATGGTTATCAATAAAAATTTAAATGTGTGCAGAGACCAACGGGATTGCTTAGTTTATAAATGTGGTGCTGGGTGTTTATGATTGCAAGGGTCTGCTTTAATGAAAATTAAATTTCTAATTTGGTAAAAGGTGATTACAAAAGCACTTTAATCCCACACAAAGGGAAAATACTCCTCTTCTTAAGATGTAAAATGTGAGTCTGAAAGTAGGCGAAATGGATGATAAGGTGGTGCAAGTTATCAGCAACAGTACATCAGCTGGTTTAGTAAATATTAACTGACATTAATAACAAATGCAGTGAAGCACTGGCTTGGGTGACACATAATATGCTGGTTTCCCTTGGCTTAAATAATTTTATTGACTGACAAAAACCGCTGCTACGCATCAGTAAAATCAAATTACTGACGACCACTTACACAGAAATGATCTCTGGGGAGGAAACATGCTTCACAATCTATTTGGCAAAGACTGAACAGAAACAAAGAAGGGGTTGCTCGCTGGGTAAAGGACTATAAAAACCCCACTAAAAAGACGGCATGTGGTTTTTGGCACCTTGTTTAATGCAGCCATCCTTATGTAGCCTCACATTTAATGTAATGTGATTCTCAACTCTTAGCAAGAAAGCGACGGTTTTGGGAAGGTCACTTCTGAAATACATGCGTTACAAATTACTAGTTTAAAGTGCAAATAATAGTGAAACATTTAAAAATGAATCTAATTATTACAGTGACTTATTTAATTTAGTTACTCTTTGATTACTTTTCTGACAAATGTTTCGAACTGAGCAGGAAAGTTGTAGGCGGCAGCTGAAGCCCACTAAAAGGTATTCCCGTCGGACTATACAGCAACCTGATTTGTTGCTGTATAGTTTGTTTGTTGTTTGCAGGGATGGCATACTCAGGTTAATTACAGCTATGCACATTCAAATGGAGCCCCTTTTGAATGTAATCATATATTTTTCTTAGTAACATTTATTCTAAAACTGAAACATCTCCAATTACTCGCCAACACCAGAAAGCAAATAGGCCCATTACCCAGAAAGCTTAAATGTGCGATAATGTTGCAATAAGCAATGAACATGTTTGACACCTTTGCCAGGCTCCTCGAGAGATGTTTGACAGAAGGCTGAAATCCCAATTAACACTAAAGACCTAATAAAACCCCGAGAGGAAGCAGGTGACAAACACACTCTCTCTTTGTGTCTTTCACACACACAAAAACACACGTCTCACAGATTGTTCATCTTCTGTGACATTTCTCTTCCCACATATGGTGTAAATCAGCTGACCTCCCTCCTTCAGCTCAATCAAATTTCCAAACTCTTGTTTGTGCTGTTGCTGTATGAATCTCATCCATCTCCAATAAGAGTCTCACGGGTACCGGAGCCCACAGAAGTGCATTTCTGACTATCATTTGCACAGGATGTTGGTGCACTCTTCACCATCCTGTATCAGCATGCTTGCCATGAGACAACGATTTCTTACAGGTGCTGTTACCAGTATTTCAAGGTTCACGGTTGCTTTTTTCAGTTATTTCCATGCTCACCAATTACTTTTTATCGCATTTATTTATTTTTTGCATTAACAATGAGAAGATAAACAGTAGAATTAGACTTCATTATTAACACTAGTCTGGTTACAGTGAACACAGTCAACACCAATAACCTCCTTCCAGATGCAAGTCCCCTTTGTATACTATAAAGAATAATTCTCAAAGTACTTTGTACCGACGTAAACATTTAGAGGTTTTTTTCAGTGCAATTAAACTGACTTGCTAAGCATAAACTGTTTTTGTGGAGTTATTAAACAAAACTAATATTAAAATGTTAAGCTACTTTCAGCTGCTCCCTTATTCACAAGGGTTCACCATAGAGAGCAGATATTTGGCAGATTTTTACATCAGCTGCCTTTCCTGATACAGCCCAAAGGACTTGTGACTTGTAAGCATCAAACTGTGGCTCTTTCACTTTTCTGGCAACTGTGTAAACCACTAAGGAGCCACTAAGTTTATTTTGCGTGTAAGTCTCAATGAGGCTTGTCTGGGAACTTCCCTGTGAGCCGCAAAAAAAGAATGGAAATCAGCTAAAATATCATGTATGCTCCTTCACACTGAGTTGCTCTATGTTTGCTACATTACGCTTACAGTTTATTTGCTCAGGCTGAGTGTTATTTGCCTTCGTGTCAGAATAGAGAAGCTGTGACACTGTGAGTGTGGAGGGTCACTGAGGTGGGCACTATCCCTGCGACGGCACAAACAGGAGTGTGTGTTAAATGTTTATCATATCATCTAATGCATGCCAAAAGTGAGTAACTAAACAATTTAAATACCAAAAAATGACTTATTTAATTTGCAGTGTGCAGGTTTCACATCTTATTTTTTTCAAAGAATCACAGATCCAGTCAACAAGGTCTCTGTTATCCTCTGTGAATGACATAATTATAATAAATATTACATGAGCTTTAAAAATGTTTTTTTTTAGAAGGGGCACTTCCTGGATTCAACCCATTTCTATTTGAGGTGCTTAAATAAAAAAAAAAAGTCAAGGCACTCCCTGTGCAAAATAAAGCTAAATTTAAGCCTAAATCTACCTTCCTTACTTCAAAATAAAGGCATTTTGATTTTATTTTTAAACCTGAGTGCCTTTTTACAATATTCAAGCTTATTTTTTATTAGTTTGAATCATCAGTGTACATCAAAAAAGGAGCTAAGTGGAGGAAAATCTTTGTCCAGGATTCAATTAGGAACAGGCCAAGAGCATCTCTCCAGATTTTGAGACAGAGGATGAACAGCCTGTTTATCCAGCTTTTCTTTACTGTCATTCATTCCTATACTAACCATCAGATACAAAGATACACAAGCCCTTGGAAGGCATATTATTGATAGATCTGGCTAAAAAACCCCATCTGAAAACAATCTGGGCTGGTAAACCAATCTGTTTTTGCTTTGCTTTGGGATTACTGAAGAGCGACAGAGACAACAGGTGGTCCCACTCTCAACATCAAACAGGTAAGTAGGAGTACACTTCATCAGCCTCTTCTCAAGTATTCAGTGTATACACTCATTCCTTTGTGTCACGAATCCTGAAATGTAGAAACAAAGGAAGCACAGTATTGCTGCAGGAATTAGACCAGAAACATGCACAGATGTCTGCACTGACTGCACTTCTATTGTTACTGAAAATGGAAAAATATTCTCTCTTTAGCACTAAGCTAAAATTCCTTATATATAAAAAAATCTGTGGATCTGAATATGTGTCATAGCATTACTTTACATTATTATTAGTTAAATGCAAAAGTTTAAGCATGAACATTGAGTCACTAAAGACTGTTTAAAAAAAACAAAAAGTATATTTACATTTACCTTGTGTGGCAAAATCTTCTTGAAAGTGAAGCAGGGAAGTTGAAGTTGTGATTGGATTCAGTAGAAACTTGCAGTTGCTGTGGATCATCACATCGCAAAACAAACAAGACTCAGGGGAGGGAAGATGGGAAAACACAATTACCTGGCATGTGCATTGTGGTTATGGTGGTTGTGGTAATCAGAGTGGTAGTTGTCTCCTCCTCTATGGGTAGCGGGGACATGGTATTCCTCGATCCCTTTTGGCTAGCAGCTGAAGAGGAGCTTAAAGCTGTTGTCAGCAGCCCTGGTGACATGGCAGTGGCTGTTGACTCAGTCTGCCCCATCCCGGGTGCAGCCTGAGTCGGATTGGTGGTGGTACCTGCAGAGTCCAAGAGTTTGATTAAATGTGTGTCATTTCCAATGTACAATTACTATAGCTGCATTAATTAAACTATATAAAGAGCATTATTAGTGTACCTGTGTCTGCAGAAGCACGTCCCAAGTATTCCTTACTCTGCAGGGCAGCATGGATCATGTCGCCCAGTGGGTAGGAGTCTGGGGGGGATGTTGGGGGTGTATCAGGCTCAGGAGTCATAAAGCTCATCCCTGGAAGAGGCACACAGTTAGTTTTTGTTGTTGTTGTTGTTGTTGCTGCTGCTATTTACAGCAAAAGGGAGAAAAGACATTATTTTTCCTAAATATGCAAGAAATAAAATATCTCAGTCCACCATGTGTCTGCTGTAACAACACACATTTAAGACCACATACACACACAAACATAGACTGTTACCTGAAACTAGGTGGATCACTGTGACAGACAGCGTCACAAGGCGAGTGAACCCCATGGTTATGGATGACCTGGGAAGGTTAAAATGAACGGATCGATTAGTAAACTGTCATGTGATCATGTAATTAGGCGGCTGCATTTTGTAGGTTACTGTAATGATTATTAATAGTTTATGATGGCTGCAGGAGGCTTAATCCGCAGGAGTGGTAATGAATAACAAATTGTTAATCTCAGCAAATTCGGTCGCAATTCAGCACATGTTTACATCACAGGCCACTCGGATCGGAACATCACCGCGATACCGTAAAATCTCATCTCAAAAGCCATTTCGTTTTATAAAGCGTAGAAGCGTAAATGTCTATTTATTAAAGGCTGTTGTTACAGGTGTTGATGTGGAGAAGAAATAAACCAGGTAGGCCCACACGTCGCACAAGGTATAAGGTTAAATATTCAGCCTTCCCTCTGCATTTTCTCATTCAAATCTGCAACAACATGCCGAAAATGCGCTATTCCAAAAAAGCGAGCGAGCCTGTGATCGCTGCTTGCCCAATTTGAACATGATACCTGTTCACTGCAATGTGTGAAAAAAAGAGGAAAAAAGGAAAAAAAAAAACAACCTCCTCTTGCTATTCGAGGCGTTTCCTTCGGTGAAAATGCCAGCTTGGTGTGTGACAAAATGATGGGGCTCTGCGAGGCAGCTTCTCTCGCACCTCCCTCGGCCCTCTTTTGTGCGGAGGACGATTTTTGACACCAGTCATCGCTACCGTGAGACCAGCAACCATCTCAGCAGCGCTTAAACGTGCCTACCACTTACCTTTGTCTTCCAGGCGGCGTTTAAGTATTCTTTATCCTGGCAAGTATCCTGTTGCTTTAGGCCGAAATACGGCGGGCTTTGCGCTGGTGAGATGCCCCTGGCTGGTTACCGTGTGGTTGACGCATTCGGCTATGATGTGAGGGCATTTGCGTTGAAGCGCCAGGTGCACCCTAGCGGCGAAATGCTGTAACTGCAGAGCGCCGCGAAGCTCCCCACCACATTTTGTCTGTCAGCGGTGGAGGAGCTGTCCACCGACGCGGTGCTGAAGTGCGTCCCGACAGAGCGCTGCGTTGTAGCCTTTATCAAGGTAATCTGACAGGGACGGGAAAAGCGGCACGGTAAATAGTGTATGTTTATTCATTTAAAGGCCTGCATGTGTCGTACCGTGTGCATGGCGAACATTTTCAGCCGCCGATTCTTGGAATGGGTGGATGTTTGCTCCAACATGGAACACGGGCAGTAAACAAGCCAGCCGAGCTGTGGGGGCTGGTGCAGAGGAAAAAAACAAAAAACAAAAAAACAAAAAAACAAAAATGTATGCTGAAGCATGCGCAAGATAATCACCCACAAATCATGAAACACATTTACGGTGTGTGTCTGTGCTGCAGCACGGGGTGCTTCCACTACATGTGAGGGCTAAACGAATGTGC